ACATCAGCTTCCTCCCCAAGAGGAACCATGCGGAACCCTAGCCATTTAGGGCCCATCTAAATCTGACTTTAAGAAAGTCAGTGGGAGTCACTTTGGTTTGATCTAAATAAAACTAGAGCATAATTATTTGTTCCCTCCTAAAAAATATAAGTGCATGTGATAGGGAGATTCATATGATGAACTCTCTAAAGGCCTTCCATCATTAGTATGAAGATGGATCATTCATTAATGAGGAGATGCACCATAAAATTGGGTCCTTCAATAATCCCATGTGCCTATGGCATTACTGACTTAGCCACATTAATATAGATCATATCGCAAGGTTGGTAAAGGATTGTCCTTTGGATTTTCTAATTGTAGAAGATCTTCCAACCTGTGAATCTTGCGTTCAGGGTAAGATGACGAAGTGGCCATTTATGGGAAAGCCTGAAATATCTACCGGCACACTTGACCTTATACATACTGATGTATGTGGTCCCATAAATGTTAGGAAACGTAACCAACACGTTTATTTTATAAAATTTACCGATGATTTTTTCACGGTATGGTTAAGTGTACCTAATGAGACATAAGTCTGAATCCTTTGAAAAGTTCAAACAGTTTAGGTAAGAGGTCGATAAACAGTTAGGGAGAGAAATTAAGACCCTTCGATCAAATCGAGGCGGCGAGTATCTCTCTAACAAATTCAAGGACTACTTAAAGGAAAACAGGATTGTATCACAATTGGCTCCTCCTGCTATACCACAATTAAACAGTGTATTGAAGAGGAGAAATCGGACTCAATTAGATATGGTCCGTTCACTTCTCGTCCACTCAGAGTTACCCATATCCTTTTGGGGTTTCTCATTAGAGACTGCGATTTATATGTTGAACCGGGTTCTAACCTAATCCGTTCCTAAGACTCTATATGAGCTATGGACTGGTAAGAAACCAAGTGTGAAACACTTGAAGATTTGGGGTTTTCCAACACATGTTAAAAGAACTAGTGCTAACAAATTGGAATCCAAGACCATCCGTTGCCTATTTATAGGTTACCCCAAAGGCTCTATGGGTTACTTATTCTATAATCCAAAAGAGCAAATGGTGTTTTGCAGTTGAAATGTCTATTTCCTAGAGGAAGATTTCATCCTGGATAATCTTCATCAGGAAGTTGTTCTTGATGAGGAGAGCCTAGGGGTAGTGGGAGATGTTCCACAAGCTCTAGAAAATAACCAACCTAGAAGATCTACCTAGGTTTCCAGGCCTCTAGTTTGTTACGGCTGTGACCAAGAAAGTTACTTGGTGGAAGCCATGACCAGTGAGGAAGATCTCGTGACTTATACAGAAGAAATGTTAGACATAGATTCCTTGAAATGGGTAGATGCCATGAGAGCTGAGATGGACTCAATGAAGACCAATGAAGTCTGGACTCTAGTAGATCCGCCCCCTAGGGTAAAAGTAATTGGTTGCAAATGGATTTATAAGAGGAAGAAGGGCCCCGATGGTAAGGTTGAGACCTATAAGCCTCGTCTTGTGGCAAAAGGGTACACTCAGAAAGAGGAAAACGACTATGAGGAAACCTTTTCGCTTGTAGTCATGCTTAAATCCATTAGGATCTTGCTAGCTGTAGCAGCATACCATGACTACAAGACCTGGCAAATGGATGTCAAAACCGTGTTCCTGAATGGAGATCTTACTGAAGATATCTACATGTAGTAACCACAAGGATTCATTGTTGTAGGTCGGGAGCACATGGTATCTAAACTTAATTGATCCATATATGGACTTAAGCATGCTTCTAGAAGCTGGAACATCCAGTTTGACTCTACCGTCAAACAATTTGACTTTGAGCAAAATCCAGATGAACCCTCTGTTTACAGGAAGACTAGTGGGGATAAGGTTATGTTCTTGGTTCTGTATGTAGATGACATTCTACTCATTGTGAATGATGTAGGAATGTTAGCTACGGTGAAAGTGTGGCTTTCGTAGCAATTCTCCATGAAAGATCTTGGGGAAGCCTCCTACATATTGGGACTTTGACTCTATAGAGATAAATCGAAGAGGATAATAGAATTATCCCAATCTACTTACATTGACAAGATTGTCAAAAGATATAGTATGGAGAACTCCAAGAAAGGAAATGTTCCTTTTAGGCATGAAGTCACTCTCTCCAAGGGTATGTCTCTCAAGACTCCCGAAGAGATTAAGGGCATGAAAGAGATTCCCTATGCCTCAGCCGTTAGGATCATCCTGTATGCCATGCTATGCACTCGTCCTAACATTACTCAGGTAGTGAGTATGGTAAGTAGATACCAATCTAACCTAGGGCAGGAGCATTGGATAGTTGTGTAACACATACTAAAATTCCTTTGAAGGACAAAAGGAGTTTTGTCTGATATTCGATGGTAGTTCACTACAGATCGTTGGGTATTCTGATACCGACTTCCAATTAGACCCAGATGATAGAATGTCTACATCTGGTCACATCTTCACGATGGGGTCCTAAGTAGTAAAAATAGCAAGTTCCACAACCCAAGCCGAGCACATTACCATAAGTGAGGCTGCCTAATGAATGAAGGTGTTCATTCTAGAATTTGGAATTCAACACATCACCCATTCCATTGTTGTGTGACAACACTGGATCTACGGGAGATTAATGTTAAAATGTAGCATTAGCGGAGAATGTGGTAGACCAATTGACTAAGCCACTAACACATAAAGTGTTTCAGAAACACATGGAATGTCTAGGACTCCGGCTTGTACCCGATTGGACCTAAGTGCAAGTGGGAGTTGTTAGATAGTATATGCCCTTAACTCCAATCAGATTAATGTATATTATGTCATTTATTTTAAATGAATAAAGTGCATAATTGATTCATGTGATTTAGTGTGTTTATATGTAATACCCTTAAATTGGACACTTATGAGACTCGTGTTAGTTTAGAATCTTTACAGCCATTGGATAGATCTGGGGAGATTTATCCTGCCAAGGCTAACACTGATGTGCCACCAAGTTGGTTGAGGTGGCTTGTTTCCGCTGTCAGGGTGAGACCTGAGGTACATATAGTGTGGGTTTTCTTGAAACCCTAAACCAGACGAAATTCCAATATTGCCTTGGACCTTAGAGATAGATGGGCAAAACTGGAATGTTACACCTAACCCCTAGACTCGATTATGATAGTACACTAGGTGTCGGATTGGGCTATCTTTGATATGCCAATCAGTGAGATCCTTAGCGGGAAACCTGTGTATGTTGGGGTAGTCCGAGAATTCACCTAAGTAAGTGAACATAGTGATAGGATCAGCCCCTTTGTCGGACAAAGTGAATAATCGGGGAATGCACTCTCTTTGATAAAAACCTAAACTGTCAGGAGTGGATTTTAAATGTGTTTGAAATTTGGTTTTGAAAAATATATTTATATAAAGATATACTTATATATTATGGTTTCAAATTGTTTGCTAATGGTTTTAATTCTCGGGATCTATGTGAGTAGAGAGTGCAGCACTGCACCTTGCAGCCGAGGAGAGGTCCTCTCTTGTCGGGCAGTGCTTGATCATTATGGGCTGAGAGGTTAAGTGTAAGACCATTGAAGGTAATACCTAATGGGCTAATCTTGCATCTACCCACAGTTTTTGGGTTTTCATAAGGTGACTGGATCCAAGAACCATTTAATGTAAATGTTAGGCCCATTGAGAGCCCATGGTGATGGACTCAGGGGTTTACTGTAACACACAGTGAATTTGGCCTGGCCTTGTAACAGAGGCCGGGCTGAACCCATGTGGCTAATGTGTAGATCAATGTTAGGGTTCTACACCATACAAAGAGAGCCAAGTTGGCAGTAGATTAAAGAGTAAGTGAGCACATAAGCTTAATGGGCGTAAGGCCCAATTTGAATTGGGATTAAGTTAGTTGAAGGATAAGGTAAGTCTTATCCATATAAGAGTCCAAATCCAAATATAAGATTTGGATTAGGAAACTCTCTCCTAATTAGATTAGGAGGTTGATCCAATAAGGCTATAAATAGGGGCAAATTCCTCAAATTTACAACACAGCAAACTGCAGAATTCTTCCTCAGTTCTTGCCTCCCCTACCCAGTTCGATCTCCACTTGTGGATCAGATCAAGAAGAGTTATTGATATTGTTTCTTGGTAGTAGAAGCAATCTGAAGTCGTGCTCACCAGCCCTTGATTCTTGCTGAAAAATTTTGGTTCTTGGTGAAGAACCATCCTGCTAATCCTATCTCACTTCACACTGTGTCATTTTCAGTGGAGGCGGGTTTTTGTCTTGTTTTTGGGCGTGAACACTTGTGTTGGGAGTTGTTGTTACTTCGTATCAGTACATCCTTCACTTCCCTTTGGTTTCAGATCTGGTCCGGTTTTGGATTCAAGAACGAACATTGAAAATGCAGTTTTCTAAATTAGGGAATACGATTCCCGGATGGGAGAGAAAGAAATTTTTGAAATTTCGCCCAACCTTCCTGCAAGGTTCGGCCATCCATATGATCGATCTCCCATCCCTTCACTTAAAATTGGGAATGCGATTCCCGTAATGGAAAAAGAAATTTTTGAAATTTCGCCCTATCATCCAGCATGGTACGACCATCCATATGATGGATTTCCCCTTCCTTCAGTTTGATGGTAATGGGGTTGTCAAAAGAGTTTGAAAGTCTGAAACCCAGTCCAACATTTTATTCTAATATTTTCATATTTGGATGATCCATTTGCATAAATGGATTGGATTCGGATCTTGTAACCCGCATCCATTTAATAACCTAATTGGATAAATACAGATTTAACTAACCCCAACAAATCTGATTGAGATTCGAATCCGAACCGATTACCCGATTGTGTTTTCCATCCATTAAGATTAATTATCATATATACATCACACAGTACTGGAGTGCCCAGCCGCTGCTTTGTTCACTTTTTTTTTTATATGTAAAAGAATTAAATTTAGATTCCTTAAATATTTACAAGGTTCTTCACAACTAGAAACTAAGGAAGATAAACACAACTTTTGTTGGACCCCATGACAGACAGTGGCCGTCACGTTATGTTTTTGGTATCCATAACCATAAATAACCTCTTTTTCTTCTTACGTAGTTACGTTCATTGTTATTAGTTCAGGTACGTACTCTCAGCGCATCACAAATTTTAGAGACCTTGGCAATTCATGCTCTGAGTCGGAGCGGATAACCTCCTATACTGTGAAAAAGATTAGGTATTAGAACAGTTGCGAATGAACGCAAAGAACGTCCTAACCGGCAAACTAATCAAGAAAACTTGGCACCTTCTCCCCACTCTCTGCTACGCAACAATCTTCGAGATATCTCCATCCCCATCTCCCTGCGATTTACGTGCTTGCGTTGCTGCTTTACAGTCCTGCGCCCATCACAGGAACCTCTATAAAGGGAAAGAAATCCATTCCTGGATGCTCATCAATGGGTTAGTGGACTCTCCGTTCTCTGTCACTAGCTTGATCAATATGTATTCCAAGTGTAGTCAACTTGATGACGCCCTTATAATTTTCAATGCAACCCATGATCGGAATGTTTACACTTGGAATGCGATGATGGCTGGATTTATTGCCAATGGCTTGTCCCGAAATGCGTTTGAGTTGTATCAGAGAATGCGCCTGGATGGCGTAGTAGTTCCAGATAAAGTCACGTTTCCTTCTGCTATAAAAGCTTGCTCTGACCTCTTAGAGGTTCTGGAAGTAAGGAAAATTCACGCAGGTTTGTTTAAATTTGGTCTGGAGAATGATGCCTTTGTCTCCAGTGCTCTCATAAATTTTTATTTGAAAATTTATCTAGTCGAAGAAGCGCAGCTCTTGTTTGAGGAATTGCCTGAGAGAGACGTCGTGCTGTGGAATGCGATGATAAATGGGTATGCTCAGATTGGTCAATTCATTATGGCTTTACAAGTTTTCGGGATGATGAGAAAAGAAAATGTGGTCCCAAGTAAATTCACGGTTACGGGGATCTTATCAGTTTTGACCATGACCGGGGATCTTGATAATGGGAGAGCAGTTCATGGTTTTGCAAAGAAAATGGGCTATGAATCTGATATTGCTGTTTCAAATTCATTAATTGACATGTACGGGAAATGTAAGGATGTTGTTGATGCGCTGGAAATATTTGAGAAAATGTTGGACAGAGATATATTTTCATGGAATTCGATTATTGCAGTACACCAACAGTCCGGTGATCATGACGGGACCCTTAGTCTTTTTGACAGGATGCGAGAAGCTGGGGTATGCCCTGATGTTGTCACGATCACGACTGTTCTTCCGGCTTGCTCCAGTATGGCAGCATTGATGCGTGGTAAGGAAATTCACGGGTACACGATTGTGAGTGGTATGAGGAAGGATGAAGATGGAGAAGAGATCCATGACATACATGCGGACAATGCTATCTTGGACATGTATGCAAAATGTGGCAGTCTTAAGGATGCTGGTTTGTTCTTTGATAAGATGAGGAATAAGGATGTTGCATCATGGAACATCATGATCATGGGTTATGGAATGCACGGGTTTGGCAATGAGGCATTGATCATGTTTCGGCTCATGTGTGAGTCTGGTGTGAGGCCAGATGAGGTGTCCTTTGTTGGGGTCCTATCTGCCTGTAGTCATGCAGGGCTTGTTAGCCTAGGATGGCAGTTCCTTGCCCGCATGGAATTGGACCATGGGGTGATTCCGACGGTTGAACATTATGCATGTGTGGTTGACATGCTTGGTCGAGCAGGGCGGCTTGATGAGGCTTATAAGTTGGCTGTTACAATGCCTATCGAGTCCAATCCGGTAGTTTGGAGAGCATTCCTGGCTGCCTGTCGGATTCATGGGAACACAACCCTAGCTGAGATTGCAAATAAACGACTTTTGGAGATTGAACCAGAGCACTCTGGGAGTTATGTGCTCATCTCTAATGTTTATGGATCAATGGGAAGATATGAGGATGTTTCAGATGTCAGGCATACAATGAGACAGAGAAATGTGAAAAAGACTCCAGGGTGTAGCTGGATTGAGCTAAAGTTTGGTGTTCATGTATTTGTCACTGGTGATCGGATGCATCCTGAATCTGATCGTATCCATGCTGAATTGGATGCATTGACTGGGTGTTTACGTGAGTATGGATACGTTCCAGAGGTTAGTTATGTGCAAGGCTGTGCTTCTTTATAAAAAGTCTGTCCTGAAAGTGGCATCGAGATTATTACTGCTTTACCATCTGATAGAAATCAGAATTGTGGTTAAGGGATTTTGGTAAACCCAATCTCTACAGGCTTTTGAAAGTTTTGCAATACATTGTAGAATAAATCTTTAGACCATTTTTATGGAAGAAGTCCATTGTGGGAGTTTTAGAAGTGGTCAACCATTGATTTAACATCCCATATACAAGAGATTGAAGGCTTTCATGAAAAAGGGGTCTTGATTTCTATGTGCTTGATTTATGCAATTGAAAAGGGTCTTGATAAATGCTTCTGAAAGAATCAATACTTGATAATCTGAATTCATTAAAATAGTTTAACTTTCTGGACGGTCTTTCCTTTGAGACATTCAATATTATAGGCCCACACCAAGATCTTCCTTTCTGTTTAAATGTGTCAAACCGAAAATGGATGGAGTTTCAGATAAGTGTGGATGTTCTAATTCTTTCATAGACTAATGGCACTATGGAAGCTCATGCGCATCTATGCAGTATAAAGTACTAGATGGGCTTAAGGATGCAACTCTCGCATTGTCATTGAAGAAACCACTTCACCTGTTGTCGTGTACTTGAGTCAATGAAAAGGTGGACCTGTTAAGGATAATGAAGGCTCTATTGCAAGGCCTGGCATTAAATTCAAAATCTATAGAGAAAAGGAAACAAAATGGCTGATGATTCAGAAGCTCAGAGCAAATAGCCAACTCTCTCAACTGTTATTTGTCTATTTAATCTTTGGGCAAGACTGTAACTTTATCCTTAATTACAAAAAAAAAAAAATGACAGTAGGAGCATATAGATGAATCAAAATGCATTTTCCTGCAAATTTTCTGGGCCTGGTACAGGATGCACTAGGAATGATCAACCCTAGATTTGAGGGGCATATCAGAAATGTGTAACAGTCTGCTAAGTGATTGCAAAGGAGGTTTGTGTATTTTCCTTAGGTTTCTGACCATTCTTCTTCACTCTCTCCATTGACAGGAACCTTTTTAAACAGCAAACAAGTTGAATTCATTCAATCCAGTTATCAAGGTGATTTATGTGTTTCTTCTTCCTGTTGGCACTTTTTCTGTCAAGTTATTTATTTATTTGTACGTGTGTGTATTAAGGAACAAGTTATATTGAGATAGAAGGTATGAAATATACAACGCAAGATTACCTCAGAAAGGAATAAGTTAAAAGAAGATTAAAGGAAGAAGAGAAGAGATTGGCCGAGAAAGTAAAGGTAAAACATATCCTCCAAAACAACACCCATGCAATGATGCAAATAAACATGGTTTTAAAATGCCAAGAAGTGAGACAGTGAGGAGTATCCTCATGGGGAGGGAGGCTAAATCTGCCTAACCTCTAAGGCCCAAAGTTTAAATTTCGACACGATACACAAGGTATATCGTATTGTATCTTTTAAAAGACAAATAATGAAAAAAAAAAAGTTATAGTGTTTCCATGTGTATTTATGTGTATCTTAATTTTTCTCTAATACACATGTGTATACAAGGTGTATCCCGATATGTCTCTTAAAATTTCCTTTTCGACACACTTAGTGTTTCCGATACTTTGAACCTTGCTATGACCTCATATGATATCTGTTACGCCTGCATCCATGTATTGAGAGGTATCTTACATTTGTTACTGGCCTAGCAGATGTGCTGTATGCAAGGCTGATGAGGAAAATATCTTACATTTGTTGGTTCAATGCAACTATGTAAGATGCATTTGGACCTGCTTTTTCAAGCTGTTCAACATGTTTGGTTGGGTCCCCAATGACTATGAGGAGATTTTTGGTTGCTGGCAGAGAGTAGTGCATGGGGAACCCCAAAGCGAAAATAATCTAGAGATGAAGAGTTAGGGGAGTGATCAGCTTGAGGATTGTTGGTTGGGTTCTAATTCTTCTAGAATTTGAAGGCCTTGGTAAAGAAAATTTTGCCACTGATTTTTAGTATACTTGAATGCCTAATGTTGATTGATAAATTTTGTTGTTTTCTTTACTATATTTATCTTGTATGTGGTGGGATGACTCCTTGTCACCTAGACAATGTATCTTGCTTGAATAAAATTTTCTTCTTTATTTATCTTCAAAAAAACAAAGTATTGAGAGGAATATGTCTCTCAACCTTTTGTTTCACATAGGTAGAGGTATATTTCTCTTATAAAAGAGAATCCTACTAATAAAAAAAGAAAAAGATCCAATTATTTTTTAACTTCTTGTAGACATTTTACAATAATAAAGCTTCTCCCCATATGCATATCTACACTAATTCATGGAGAACCCACCAAATAGATTCAAAATATAAATCTGGATAGTACATGCATTCAGAAAACCACTTTGGATTTATTCTAGGAAGATAAATTGTGGTCTTCCTAAAAGTGAAGAAAATAACAGAAAAAACAAAAGAAAAAAGGGGATGGAAATAAGACCGGAATAGCACAGAGAGAAAGAGAGAGAGAGAGAAGAAAAGTAGAGAAAAGAAAGGAGAGAAAGAATAGGGATGCAACAAAGAGAAAGATAAAGTCTAACTCTCTTTAATTGCTACCCCACTTTTATTATAATAAAAGTTCAAAACTTTACAACATATTGGCCCATATCAGCCGATACGTATTGTATCTTTAAGGGGTTGGCATGGGAAACAATACAAAATCCTTTGTATGGTATCTTTTCGTCGTGCCGATCACGTATCATGACTGTATCAGGGCGTATCAGGGGCGTACTGGGGGTGTATTAGGTTGTATCGGGGTGTATTAGTCGATACAATATGACTTATTTATAGGTGAAAAATAAATTAAAAACCTTTGAGAAAAAAAAGGCTTCTAACTCTCCCTGAAAACCTTATTTCTCTCCCAAATTCACCAAATCATCCCTACACATTCTTTAGTTGCAAGGTCTTTAAAAAAACCCAAAAACAACCTCCAAAACTCAAGATTATTGAAGTTTTTTTTCAACTTTTTCAAAAATTTCAAAAATAGGTATTTTTTCTATTTATTTGATACTATGTTGCAATATTTTGTATTTGTTTTTTCTCTTGATGATTGCAAATGCTTCTATATAGATTGATATACTCTCCTTGTGTTGATAATCCTATTTCTTTGTGCTTTAAATAGATCCATGTAATTGTTTAAAGAAAATTTAGAAAAATATAAAATAACAAAAAATTATATTTTTGGTGTAATCTACCCATAAAGAATAATTATGTCATAGATCTATTGGTGATCTACCATCTCCATAGATCTATTGAAATTTCATGTAAAATATTCATTTTATATTTTGTAGTAGAATAAAAAATATTTGTTGTTTATTTTTTTAAAACAAAAATGTTTGTTTTTTAAACTTTTTGTAATTTTAGAATAAAAATGTTTATCTTTTCTAATTTTTAATTTATAGATCTATTGAAATTTCTTGTGAAAAATTTATTTTTTATTTTTTAATTTTTAGAATACAAAAAATATTTATTTTATTCTAAAATTTAGTGTATCTCGCCATAATATTTACTATGTTGTAAATCTATCACATCATTAGAGTTATTTTTTGTTGCATTTTTTAAATTTTTGTTATAATTTTTGGAATAAAAATAAAATAATTATTTGAGTAGGAAATAAATAATTGTTTAAAAAATTACAAAAAATGTTTTCTTAAATAGTTATTAGGCTTATGTTTTGTAATTATAACCATATTAGAGAATAGCCTTATGTTCCCGTATGTTGATTGTATACATTTTTTTATAAAAATCACTATATAAAGGATGTGATTTTCATGTATATATAGCTCATTTAGGCCTTATATTTAATGTTATTGATGTATTTTTATGATTTATTGAAATATTTATAGTGTTTCATGCATATTTAAATCTTTCGTTTGTATCCATGCATATCGAAGGTGTATCCCGATATGTCTCTTAAATTTGTCTTTCCGACACATTTAGCATTTTTGATACTTTGAACCTTGATTATAATAGAAAAGTTGTAGATGATGTCCAAACTACCCCTGCTTGGTATCACTTATTTTAAGTACTTATAGTAGTTATAATAAGTTGCGGGACCACACAATAAGTGGAAAATAAACACTTATTTCTATTTGGCAAAAAAGCAAGGATTGATTATTTTAAGTACTTATTCTAGGGTTGATTATTTTAAGTACTTAAAATTTAAGTACTTATTTCTTTTTTGTGGGACAAAATTGTCCCTAAAAATTTTCAATATCATAATAATATCCTTGTGAATGGAGAAAACCCTATCGTCTTCTCCATTCACGCAAGTACCTTGAGCAACGAAGGGTGGTGTCAGGGAGGGTAGTTGTAATTGGTTTTCCGACTTGGCTCTTAGGTATGTTGTTCTTCTTGCAATTCCTTTTTCCCCTCAATCAGTCCAATTTGGACTTTTTTTCTAAAGTTTTTGATGTCTAAAACTAGATTTGCGGTGTTTTTGTGCATATCTAGTTTTTGAACAAAAAAATCGCATAACAACTCACCAACGACGGCATGTATGATTGCTCTAACAACTTAATATCGTTCATTGTTTTTTAGCATATTTCTCTGAATAATATCCCATTAACCAGATTGTTAATGATTTATTCGTATAAATATGTGAATATTATGCAATACCCGAGTTGTTTTCTAATGTTCTTGTATATAGATTGAATAAACTACATTATCCAATTTATTTTGGGTTTTTTGGAATATTGTTTTGAATATGTAATTCCTGATTTTTTTTATTTGTTTTTTCTTGCATAATATAATGAATAACATGCTTTTTCTATTATGCTTCTTTGAACTTGCTTTTTTAAAAAAAAAAAATACCTTCACAAAATTACTTCTTGAAAGTACTTCTATGTAAAAGTACTTTTTGAAAGTTATTTCATAAAAAGTACTGTGAACTTGCTTTTTTACAAAATACCTTCCTAAAATTGCTTCAAAAGTACTTTTTAAAAGTGCTTTTTGTAAAACTTATTTTTAACGTTAGTTTTTTAATTTATCACACCATTTATTTTATTATTATTATTATTATTATTTGTGAGTAGGTAGGTAAGGCTACGTACAGGAGTCTCCTTGAAGGCGACGAAGGAAGGCTGAAGGCAAAGGGTAGGCTAAAGGCTAGGGCGAATGGAATGATAGAATGATAAAATGATGATTTCTTTATGAGTTAGACATCTATTTATAGGGAGAGATCCCGAGGTCCCAAAAAGAAGAAGCTAAAAGTGTTTAATTCCCACTAGGAAAGGGAATCTTCGATTTGGTGTCA